TGGACTATGGTTTGATGTTTCTGCAGACAGAGATTGGAAAACTCAAGCCAAATGCAAAGCAACAATAATGTTATCAAGTTAGTAATGGCTAATACCATCTCATCCTAGTAACATTCCTTAAGTTAACTTACATTATTAACAAAGTTAGTAAGTCTAAAGGTTTTATTCAAAATTAGGACAAATTCTTGATATATAGATGGCGTTCCAAACCGCTTTTCCTAGTTCTTGGCGGCTGACTGACAGGCAAAAATGCTGCTGTGCCACATATGCATTCCATTCATCCGTGCTGGGGGACGTGCTGCTGGCGAGGAAGAACTTTAACTTTGGCCCAATCATTACAGCTCAATCATCGGTCGAAAATAGCAAATTTCTCCCGAGATTCCATCCATTTCCCGTATTTTTTGAAGCCATAGGGGGATCCAACTGCCGGAAGAGCACCCCAGTCACACGGATTCACTCTCCCCACCGCGCCATTCTCTGGCGAGATCTCTCGGTGATTTAGGAACACTAAATCTGAACCGACATGGGGGAGAGAAAATACGCACAAAGGTGAAAATCCAGCAGGAATGTTCTATTTCGGGCTACCGGAACTGAAAGTCTTTCTATCTTTACTCGCAGGGGGAGGATTCCAATGGGTCTTCGCGTGTTCTTCCGCCTTCTTTAGCCTCTATAGGAATTCTTCTGTGAAAACTTTGGCATGAAATCCAGCTAAATATATTCTTAAGTTTCAAAGACTTTACTAAGAAAAGTTTAGATAGGAATATTAAATTATTATTCTTTACAGAGAACATAAATAAACATTTTAAACATCGATTTCTAAGAAACTTTATGTATATGAAAAACAGAAGCTCCTTTGTCACAAATCCCTGTAGCAACAATCGATGATTTCTATGGGTCTGATTATAATCCCGAATTCCGTATAGCACCACCCCAGGGTATTATATTTCACTCCCGACTTCGGTTCCCATCAGAATCAGAGTCGAAGGCTTTTTGGCGGAGAGGGCACAGGGGCTAGGCCCGTTGATCTTCACCGATTTCCTGCCGATCGCACGTAATTGGGTGTCCCGCTAAAAAAGTCATAATCACCTGTCCATCCTTTATCACGGCAAACCCGTACAGACATCTTTGGGAAACCGACTCCCAAGCCCAAAAGTTTAAAACTCCGTAAGCGATTTTTATGCACCAAGTGCATTCGGACTTGGGAGCCCAGAAAAACACAGCCAAGCAGAGACGAAAAGAAAAGAAAAGAACGAAGAGTAGGGATGAGAAGAGAAGAGAACTGAAAGACCAAAGACAAATTCCTGCGTTTTTCCAGGAATTCACTCAATAAACTCAAACAAAACCCAAACATTTAACAAACGAGCCCAGCCACATGCACATCCCGGCCAGACGACGGCGAAGATGCTGACCAAGACGGAAGACGAGGATGGGGGCCCTGACCGGGGGAATTCTGGATGGCGATCGGGGGACGACGACGTCGCCGACGACGATGCGAAGCGCTGAGCAAAACACAAAATAAACCAAAAAGCAGGCAATTCCAAGCAAGAACACCATGGTGTTGTCGCACTCCACGAACTTGGATCTGTGAATGTGAGCCGATCATAGAGCACATGGAGTGCATGGAGTGGGATATCAGACCAAGTAATACCCTTTATTTTATATTATTTGAAGCGAGGAATAATCTCTTGTTAATCAAGTAACATCCAGTAACTTTCTTTCCGATTCGGAAATACTTTTTCCTTGAGTTCCAGCCAACCAACTTTCGTAGATCGTGAATCTTCCTAGAGCCCTGGTGTCAGTTTGTGGTGCAGTGCCGAAAATCAGACGGGAGCAGGAGTCGGGGGGCGGTTCTTGCCATTCTAGTGGGCGAGCAGACGCAGGATTGCGGATCCCATGGCTGTTTGGCTGCATTCCAAGTCACACAGAACCAAACAGAGTCGGACCCGAAGAGCAGAAAAGCAGAAAGAAGTGGCAGCAGTGGAAGCAGCCAAACCTAATCCGATGACGACGACGACCCAACTCCGATGAGATGAGGAGTGGTCGTGCCAGGAGAAACAGGAGAAGCTGCGACCAGCACAAGATTTAGCCCCAAAGCACTGCTAAAAATCGTGTCTCATTCTTCTGCTATTCTTAACAGAAATAAATATTTACAGCTTTTTGTAGAAATACAATTTTTCCCTTTGAAAAAATTTCTAAATTTTCAGAAACTTAAAGTTTTATACCAGAATATTAATAATAATAATAATAATAGTAATCAATCCTTTAAAAGGAAAGGAAGAAAGTATAAAATGCATTCACAAAACCAAACTATAAGTTTTCTCCTCAGTGTAATGGCGCTGGCGCTGGTGGTGCGGTACTTTTGCTGCTGCTGCTTCTAAAAAGTCCTCTAAAAATTATTTATTAACATGGTAGAAATTCGCAAACAGGTTAAAACGACCAATCAAAGCGGCAAGAACAACTACAGCAGCAACAACAAAAGCGGCGGCAGCCAAAGACCCAAAGTGCAGATAATATTAAAAGGCAGTCAGGCAGCCAGCCGGAGTTGCACGAGGATCGAGCGGACGGGGGATTGGGGTATTGGGGGATCTGGGGGGCGGAGGAGATGGAGGAGGAGGAGGAGGAGCTTTGGCCCCGACTTCCAAGCCAGACACATTTCGAAAAGGGCCAACACGAAATTCCAGGGGAGTCGTTGACTCGCCTTCGCTTGGTTACTTTTCTTGGGAAAGTTTTTGTTGAAAGTTGGACAGTAACTGAATTTTGCCGTTTTTGTTATTTTTTAGTTCGGTTTTCTGCAACCGCCGGAGAGCCAAGTTGGGTTGCCGCGATAAGGTGGCATAGAGCAGAGCAAACAAGCTTTGTGTTTTAGGTGGTAATCAATGGAGTTGCACCTCTGAAAAGGTCTACAAGGGGCTCGGGAAATTCCAAAATGCAGGTCTACCTATATTTTTGGTTATTACGTGTTGCAATATAATTAGCAGTCTACTTTTTAATGCCTCGATGCCTGACTTAAAAGACTCAATTTTTGAAAGAAGAAAATATTTTTAGATTTGAATGCCAGTTGAATATGGATTGAAATACAAGCTCAACGTAATGAAGAAAATACTGATTTTTTGGGCGGAAAATCGAGACAGACTGATTTTCGCATTTTTGGAAACAATCATAAAAATTTACGAAAAATCTCAAAGAAATCACTTTTTGAGTGTGGCACACAGTTCGACGGGGAACTTAAATACGAACTCAACGAGGTATAACTTTCCATGTTACGATACTTTTTGGCTCTGTAATGAGGAAAATACTGATATTTTGGGGGAACATCAAAATTGTGACTTTTTAGTAAAATTTGCGATATTTTTACCAGTATTATGCTTATAACTCTATCAAAATAAGACGCACAGCCAAAAGGAGGATTGTTTTGTGCAACTAACGACCCTAGCAAACTTTTTATGTGGTTGTGGCAATGAATTTCGGAAATTAAATTTTTTCTCAAATTTCACTTTTTTGTAATCATCATTTTTTCCAAAAATTGAAAAAATAGTTTTTGCCTCAGATTTGAATGGGACTCCATAAACTTGAAAATAGATTGAAAAACAAGTTCAACGAGATATAACATTCCATTTTCCAACCATTTTTGGCTTTGTAATGAAGAAAATACTACATTTCGAGCCTCAAATCGGGACAGACCGGATTTCGCATTTCTTGAACATCATAAAAATTTACGAAAATTCTTAAAAAAAATCACTTTTTGAGTGTGGTACGCAGTTCGACGGGGAATTTAAATACGAATTCAGCGAGGTAGGACATTCCATGTTACGACTATTTTTGGTTCCGCAATGAGGAAGATACTGATATTTTGGGCTGATAATCAAAATTGTGACTTTCGAGAAAAATTCGCGATATTTTCCCCCAGTGTTATGCTTATAACTTTGTCAAAAGAAGTCGCAGAACCAAAAGAAATACTGTTTTGTGCAGCTAACGACCCCAGAAAACTTTTCATTTGGGTATGAAGATGATTTTCGGAAATTAATTTTTTTGTCAAATTTCACTTTTCTATAAAGGGTACCATCATCTTTTTTTCGAAAAATTGAAAAAATATTTTTTTCTTCAGATTTAAATGAGACTTTAATATTTTGAAAATAGGTTGAAATTCAAGCCTAACGAGGTATAGCATTCTATTTTCCGACCATTATTGGCTTTGTAATGAAGAAAATACTGATATTTCGAGCCTCAAATCGGTTTTCGCATTTCTTTACATCATAAAAATTTATGAAAAATCTTAAAAAATGTACTTTTTGAGTGTGGTACACAGTTCGACGGGGAATTTAAATACGAACTCAACGAGGTATAACATTCCACGTTACGATCATTTTTGGCTTTGCAATAAGGAAAATACTGATATTTTGGGGGGAAAATCGGGAGACAGAGTTTCTGAACTAAGTTTGAGCCGTGGCGCCATCTGTTAGATTTCGTTGAAGACCACAGATAATAACAGAGCTCTGTTCTTTTAGCGGAGACTTACACCACATAAACAGGTTCCCCAATCTGCCAAGTGGCGTATGTTCATAATTATGTTTTAAGAACTAGCTAGCTGGCAATTTATAAATATTATACATATAAATATATATATATATATAAAACAGACATAGCTGTTACTTAGAATCCCGAAAATATATTAATCAAGATAAAATTTTGGTATTTTTCAACACTGGATAATGGGCGCGTAGTTTTAAAAGGAAATAAATGAACTGCCAAAGAAACTGATAAGGAAAAACCATTCTTATCTTCAACAATAGTGTTTGCATATGCGGTTAATCAGTGCAGATTGCAAATCGATACTAATTTGACAACATGAAACCCGAGATAACCGCATCACTCGCTGGCCCGACGATATATACACAGAAAAATTTTAATCCGGTACGGCCGTCACAAACACACACACATGTGAACATGAATATAAGTTCCGATGCTCAGAGGTCCGATTCGATTCGATTCCATCCGATCCGAGCACACAGAAGCCCTCGGAATCGGAATCTGGGGGGCAGCAGCAGCTGGTGATAACGCGGCGGATCGGCTTTCATACAAAACAATAACAGAATTGCCGTCAGCACGTAGCACGCCGGCAGATTTCAGTCGCTAACGTTCGACGAGAGTCGAAAGTCAAGAGTTCTCGAGCGGAATTTGAGAGATTATATAGAGATACACAACTATCCCGGAGATGCGCAGCCTCAACCGCTTTCGTCTCATCACCTTCGATGTGACCAACACTCTGCTCCAGTTTCGATCCACTCCCGGGAAGCAATATGGCGAGATTGGAGCCCTCTTCGGGGCCAGATGCGACAACAATGAGCTGGCCAAGAACTTCAAGGCTAACTGGTAGGTGGGAGAGCGCTGTAAGAAGCCCATCTGAACTGAGGCATCTTTCCAGGTACAAGATGAACCGTGATTATCCCAACTTTGGACGCGACACGAACCCCCAGATGGAGTGGCAGCAGTGGTGGCGTAAGCTGATAGCAGGTGAGTTGAGTGCTCGCCGAGTGTTTGTCTGCTCGGTGATAAACAATCCGGCATGTTCCAAAGTGCATTTGACACAATCGCTGTTGAAAGGTATTAGTATCCGCAACTCCTAATTAGATTAAATTCAAGCAAAACTAAATTAAATATTAATAATCTCTCCTAATGATGTGTCAGTGGCAATGCTGGCAATGTCAAAATTTCCTCTTACAACATAGATTAGAGATTAAAGCAAAAGATCACACAAGCGTAAACTTTGTATCTGCTAATTTGTTGATCATTAGAGCTGCCATAAACTATTCATTCATGTTTGTATACACATATTAACTAACAAACTCGATCCACAGGAACTTTTTCGGAGAGCGGGTCAGCAATTCCCGACGAGAAGCTGCACAACTTCACCAGCCATCTGATAGAGCTCTACAAGACCTCCATTTGCTGGCAGCCATGCAACGGCAGCGTAGAGCTCCTCCAGCATATCCGAAAGGACTTGAAGCCGGATAAGTGCAAAGTGGGGGTGATAGCCAACTTCGACCCCCGCCTCCCGGTTCTCTTGCAAAACACCAAGCTGGACCAGTACCTAGACTTCGCAGTGAACTCATACGAGGTGAAGGCCGAGAAGCCCAACGCGCTGATCTTTCACAAAGCAATGGAGAAGGCGGGCTTGAAGGACCTCAAACCAGAGGAGTGTCTGCACATTGGCGATGGACCCACCACTGACTATCTGGCCGCCAAAGAACTGGGCTGGCATTCGGCGCTGGTGCATCAGAAGAGCTATGCGTATCTGGTTAAGAAATACGGCGAGGACATCGACAGGGATCATGTCTTTCCCAGTCTTTATGATTTCCACAAGAAGATCTCGGACGACGCGGTGGTTTGGTGATCGATTGTAAACATTTTAAAGTAGAAAGCCAAATAGTTCCATGCCTCCTTCTTGGATATTGTCATGCATATATTTAGATACCTTGAGGATATGTGCATTTCGTGCCCTCGGTGAAGGTAACTGCAAGGCAATGAATCCTTAACTAGTTGTGTATTAGCCATTAATAACGCATAACTATGTACATATGTATCTTACTCAAAGCTTCTAGTTGTACTAATGATGGGGCGATCAAATAAAAACCTGCACCCACACAGCTGATTGATCATATGTGCTTAATACAATCGATTTAAGAGGCCAAGATTTCAATCCAATCGATTGCTAAGGCGTAATGTGACCCTATTAAAGGCGTTGAATACATTTTTGTGTGTTTTACATCTCTAGAGGTTTTAGTTTTTCCAGTTTCTGTTTAAAAATTAAAAAGATACACAGTAATACCATTGTCGTAATTATAATAGTGTCGTTTGCTGATTCAATTTAGTTTTATTCACCTCAATGGCGCTAAACTATAGAAACTCACCACTCCCCAAATTAGCCAAGAAACCAACCCCACAACTTTAGAAAAATAAAACTTGAAATGTCTTGTTTACAAAATATCCTATATTATATAAATCACGATGATTTAAGAATACAAATAAATTCTTTAATTTTAGGAAAAAAAACTATACAAATTGATTTTAACCTTAAAAAGACTGTTTTGTATGAATGGTCAAACTCATCTAAAATTTCTTTTTCTTCCTAATATGGGTATTAAAAAAAATTCATATAAAGTGATAAACAAAGTCGTAAACAAATAACTAACTACCTATAATGGGGGGCCAGTGTACTAGCCTCTTATCTTATCCTATCAAACAAACATATGTTTATATTTGGCTCGCAAAAATCCGTTATATATCGTTATCAGTTAAAAGGCACTTCAGCTGATTGGAAACTGCCACAATGGGATCAGGCGAGTCCTAGCCTGTCATAAATATCAATTGCTGCTAATCGGGCAGATTAAAGTAGAACTTAAGGTAGTAGTACTAAAGAGTTACGGAAAACAAAGATCTGAGTACCTTCCAATTGATTTTATATATAGAAGATCCATTAGTACTGATATAGTTAGTAGTATTAGTATTAGTTCTATCCGAAAAGCTAACATATATTAAATTCCCATAGATAGCAGGTATCTCCTAGCCAAATTAGATATCCTCCAGCAACTAAGCACCGGTATGTAGCGGGTATTTCGAAGTCGAGACATTATGTTGAATGCTTCTCTGGCATTAAAGAGCAGGTTCTCTTAACTCGGTTACTCTCTTACGACCGTCGTTCATCCACTTTTAAGTGGCGCAGCGGCATGGGATTGGCGTCAGTTGCTCACCACCCATGGAACGGAACGGAACGTCGCGAAATAGCGAAAAGATATAGTACACTTCGGCACTTTATCACTGGCAAAATAAAAACAAAACATTCTTAACGCGAACGGGGCTGTGGATTTTCAGTTTATTTCATTTGCCCATTTGCGTGCGACAATCGCCTTGGGCCAAGTTTGAGTTAGTTTCCAAGTTTGCATTATTGTAATTAGCCTGTCCGGCGACTACGAAACGAAACGTATAAAAAATAAAACGCAGAATAATTGCGCTGGAAATAATGTGCGCGGCTAAAAGCGCTAACGTAACGGCTAAATAATAGTAGAAAGTTTTTATTGTTATCTCTTCTTCTGAGCCGCAGCTGCCAAAAGCCGAATAACCATAGCAAAACCAGCAAAACCGTCGAAATTTTGCGTGTGAACAGAAAAGAAATCCGATTTTGGCCCCATATCTCCAAATTTTTGTGACTGTGTGTGCTCAGCTTACAAAATTGGTAGCGTTTAGACGTCGTTAGACGCTCAGTCAACAAACCCAATAATATCCAAAAACACAAACACCAACAAAAAAAGCGGCAAAATGTCCGGCCCACTGCCCGAAATCAGCGAGGAGCAACGTGCCACATTGGAGCAGGTGAGAACAGAGAGTCATCCCCCAGGAATTTCTCTTAAGTACTCTTGAGGGCAAACAAGATAGTTATTTACTTTTGGATTTGGCCAGATATGTGATGCAGATAAAGCGCCATAGTGACCTAATAGTTTTCCACTTAGAATCGCATCTCCATACAGGCTTTGTTCAAGGAGACTTCATTAATTGCTTTCTAAAATGTAATCCCTTAAGCATTATCTTAAATTTTACAAAAGTAAACTAAGTTTTTAAAAATGTTTTGATTATCTTATATATAAACGTATAAGGTACCACTTCCTAAGCTTTAAAATTGTTTAAACTCGTTATAGCGAAATCGATAATTTCCCAATGATTGAGCAATCTAGATCTATGGAGTATTCTAACGAACTAAAACAGAATCAGCGAACCATTGATGGTATGGAAATGAGCAGTTGCTCGCTTGACTTCCCCTTCGAGTATTACCAAATTTCACTAGACGTTAAACCACGGTTTTTATATGCGGCAAGAGCAGCTGCTAAGTAGAATCAGCTGCAACACATTCAGTATATTCAGCTGTCAGAGCTGTGCTCAGAAACAATCAAAGGGGGTTAATGTAAAACATATCCTATTTCCATTTACTCAAACTAAGATATTGTTGTGCTTATTTGTAGTCAATAAAAAGGTAATCATAATCATTTTTAGTACGAGACTATTACAACGTAATAGATAAATTTTTTACAAATTGAAGTATATGCAGAAAGGCAGTAAATGGTTTAAGAATCTATAATCATAAGACCATCTTCAAGAAACCCCTCCTAACTCCCCCACTGATGCCTGTATCTGCAGTTGCGCATTGTTGGCTCTTATAAGTTCTTGGCTGGCATACTAAAAACCGATTGCGAAATCGAAAACTCTGATGAAGTCGACTGGCGACACAGAAACCGAACAGTTCAATGCTAGTATGCATATGAATAAAATATAAATAAAGTAGCAAATGAGGAGAATGCATTATAAGTTACTGCTTATAATGGGCGGATTATAGCCGGACCTTTGCCCGTTTTAATTGCCTGGGGGGAGTTAGGGGCGACAGCCATTTCATGGCACAATGACTGCGATTAGCAGTATAAATTGCGAGAACAGGGCTAATGGTAAATGGGGATGAGTCGTTAACTAGAGAGCATTGATCCAGAACTAAAGCACTCAAAGATCAGACCTTAGACCTGTGGAAGTCCGATGTAGAAATCTTGCAGTATTTGCATAAATCACCAGAGCAACAGGTTTTAGCCAGGTGTCTTTGAAGTGCCAAAAACCCAAATAAGCGAAGAGAAATTCCGAAGTTTGCTGAATTTCATGCGAAATGCAAAATGAATGCAACTTCGCCGGCGTAAATGCTAACGTAAACACTATTCGAGCTGCAGCCTAAAATATCGAGTGACTAGGCCAAATTTAGACTCAATTTTGAATCGTTCAATGTGTATTTACCTTTTTTTTTCTACCTCGGAGTCGCAGTCAAAGTCAGACCAAGAAAGGAAAGAACAAAGCGGAGGGGCCGATAGGCAAGCCCAAACCAAAAACCCAGTTATACGCCGATGAAATGAGGAAGTACACAGCCAAAGCCAACAGAACGCGGCGCTAATGACACCCAAAGTTGGGTATTAGCCACAGCCTGGGGGCCAATAGTAAAGCTTGGTCTCTGGGCCAAGTTAGCAGTCGAGCAGCCGAGCGGCATTAAGCGAAAACTGAAAACTAAATAAAAGAAGCGGTTAGTGAGTCGGCCTCGTTATTGAATTCCAAGTGGTTTTGGCCAGTGCCGCATGACTCAGCAGTTGGCAAACAACCTAAGCGCGAGTCAATTAAATGATTAAAATGGTGCTAAATATGCACTTGATCGAATGCAAATTGAAGTACGTGATGTTTACCCAACAAACAAGTTAATAATACGACTGAAACAAAGGCTGTTCATGACAGATAAAAGAAATGCAACCGAAGAAAGGAAACTTTGCTATCAATTCAGCTGCTCGATCAGCTTTCGTTAACAACATCCGAATTTGGCAGTCGGCAGACAAGGCCAACACAAATTAACAGCAATTAAGACAACAAAGGCCAATATGTAGTCTACCAAGCCCAATATACGTTATCGTTTGGAGATAGGAAAATTACTTGCAAACTCCTCAAATATGCTGCCACTAGCCCCCTGTTGCCCTGTTCGGCCTTCAGTAAATAAATCAACGAGGCAAATTGGATTATAAATCTGATTAAAAACTGTTTTTTAAGCTGGATGAGGTGAAACTGGATTGGTAAATCTCTACAAGTCAGAGGGCAAATTCAATGCAATAACATTTATCGGGTGAACGGATTTAATTTCATCCCAGATAGTTCATCATGTTTTATCTAATGTTTGTGAATTCATTCAAAAAAGGGAAATCAGTCAAAAGTTTGTTTGACTTAACTAATTAAGTCAGAGCTTTATTATCCCCTCTCCATTTATTTAAACTTATCGTAAATGTATTAGGCAGATTCGCGATTTTTAAACTTGATCTGCGTTTTGCATAAAGTGAAAGTTTATTAAAGATATATTTTAAACTCTACGAACAAATCCCTCATTATGATTCATTTTTATCGTTTTGCCATGATTCATATTTAAAGTTTTATTATATGCTGGCAATTTTTCTTCATTGATAAACTTTTTGATAACATTATCTTTTATGTACTTTAAGTTTCGCAAACAAATGGACGATGCTCTGGTAGAAACACACGACGACTACTTTTTACTGCGCTGGCTAAGAGGTAAGTTATTAGAGATACTAAACTATATTTCAAATTACTATATTTTTCTCTGTTTTAAAACAGCTAGGAAATGGGACATTGATGCAGCCGAGAAAATGCTGAGAGCTGTAAGTTTTGAAAGTATTAAAATAAATGGTTACTTCCAATAAATATGTACTTCTTAGAGCTTGAAAACCCGAGCCATGTGGAATGTAGACAACATCGAGAAATGGGATCCCCCTAAGGCGCTACAGGAATACCTGCCCTACGGCCTCATGGGTTACGACAACGAAGGATCACCGGGTGGGTAGCATATTGGCTTCTGTAACTAAACAAAAAGTTACCAATTTTATATCCTCCTTAGTCCTAGTTTGTCCATTCGCCAACTTCGACATATGGGGCATGCTGCACTGCGTCACGCGATTTGAGTTTCAAAAGTACTTGGTCCTGCTGCTGGAGCGCTTTATGAAGATCGCCTACGACCAGAGTCAGAAGCACGGATGGCGGTCGCGTCAGCTGGTTGTATTTTTTGATATGCAGGATGTGAACCTGAAGCAGTACGCCTGGCGACCGGCGGCGGAATGCGTGATCTCCATGGTGAAGCAATACGAGGCCAACTTCCCAGAGCTGCTCAAAATGTGCTACATTATCAACGCCCCGAAGCTCTTCTCAGTGGCGTTCAATATTGTAAAGAAGTTCCTCGACGAGAACACCACCAGCAAGATCGTGATCTACAAGTCCGGAGTGGATCGATGGCAGCAGCAACTCTTCTCCCATGTCAACCGCAAGGCATTTCCAAAGGCCTGGGGCGGTGACATGGTGGACAGAAACGGTGATCCCCAGTGCAAGGCCCTGATGATCTGGGGCGGCAAGCTGCCGGAGGAGCTGTATATCGATCAGAACAGCCAGCAGAGCGACAGGGACTTTGTAGAGGCCCAGGTCCCGAAAGGCGACAAACTAAAGCTGCACTTCAAGATCAACGGGGAGGAGCAGAAGATCCTTTCCTGGGAGTTCCGCACCTTCGACTACGACATCAAGTTCGGCATTTACAGCGTGGACGATAAGACTGGCGAGAAGCGCAGCGAAGTGCCGCTTGGAACAGTGTACTCTAACGAGATGGACGAGGTCGGTTATATCTCCACCCGTCCCCACACCACTTGTAAGTGTAAAAAGCTTCCGTTTTACATCCTTCACTAACCTCAAACCCTAATTCTCTCTAGACACGGTGGTGTTCGACAACTCCGCCAGCTACCTGCGCAGCAAAAAGCTCCGCTACTGGGTGGACCTGATTTCCGAGGAGGAGGAGGGCATCTCCGAGCTGACCAGCCAAATGGACAACACTCAGATTGCGAGTCAGTAGTATACAGGACACAGTTCCCGCGCGACGAGCAACCAAGCCAAAAACAAATGGGGGTAGATAGATTATTAGGAATTGACAACACGAACTAACCTCGGTGCAATAGTCAAAAAGCATCTTGACCAGATCTCCGCTGCCGTCTGCTCTCCAGCAGTCCTCATGGCAACGCCTCTGGCAAATGTGCAATCTAACTATGTGATAGAAACAAATTAGCAAAGGAACTCAAAAGTATGACTCACATCTACATTTAAAGTTAATTTTTATTACATACCTAACCGCTCTGTTTAGTTAACAATATTGGATGTGTAATCGTGTTTTCATACCCGTTTTCAGGGAGTACAGCACAATAAATGTATATAGCACCTGATCTTTATATGAAATCCCTTGCGTCTCTACTTAAAGATCAGGGGAGCTGCACTTGTACTGCTCTTTAATAGGAGCTAGCTGACTACCAAGCTCTTTCCATGGTGCCAAGGAAGCTTATTAATAGTAATTAATATTTTTAAATACTAACTTCATCATAATGGAGTATGCTAGAGTGGATCGATTTTTGATTTTGAAAAATCTATTAATTGTAGGCGTAGAAAGTTACCTAAACCGACCGCGGATTACTTTACTACGATTTCTGCGATTTCCAAATCGACTTTTGTGGTCTTGTGTCCAATATACTCCACAACAAATAATCATTCGCCGTTCCGGGTTGCCAGCTCACAGGCTCTCAGCTCACGGCTGCTGCGAGGAGGCGCGGCGCTTGCGCCTTCATCACTGCGGACCACCGGGATTGGGGCCCATCTGCGGGTAACCACCGGGACCCACCGGACCCTGAGGTCCCACCTGCTGGGGCTGCAGTTGCTGCATAGGCATCATCGGATTCGGGCTGGATCCAACACCGACACCTACGCCGACGCCCACTGGCGGTCCGATGGACTGGTTGGGCGGTGGCTGGGGCATCTCGGTGGCTAGCTGGAGGTTCGTGAGCAGATCCGTGATAGCTGGGAAGAGCGTGCACTGATTCTGCTGAGCATTGAACTCGGCAAATCGACGGAGAAGTGTGCTTGCAGCCGTCATGGTGGGCGAGGTCACTTGCCCAGTTCTCTCCGCCAGCTGGGTAACATTCGTCTGTATGTCGTACACAATGGGCAGTACCAGAGAGGGGCTGTCCTTCCAATCCTTGCCAACGCCCATGCTAGCACCGTAGGGAATTCTCGTGATGTGCAGGAAGAACAGGATCTTCATGCGACCCAGAACCACGCAGGCATTGCCACTGGGCACAATGGGCACTGCCGAGGGCGGCATGCGCATGCACATTTGCACCGTCCACTTTAGCTGGTCTCCACCCAACTCCGGTTTCAGCTCCAATCGCATGATCTGAACGAAATCTTTGAGTACCTGGGCGGGCAAGTTTAACAGGCGGCAAACGCTGTACAAGGAATTGGGTCTGTACGGTGGAGCTGCCACTCTGGTGTCGAAGTACTGCTCTATGACCATTAGATCGTCCTGGCTGAGTTGAAATGGTGGCGGCAGCTTGTCGGGCATAGGGGGCAGCTGGGAGATCTTCAGGTGCAGCGTCTGCATATGCATCTGATTTAGTACCACCTGGCATTGCAGTCCATCAACCTTGAAGAGCACTACTCCAGGTTCCGTGCTGTTAAGGGCTGTCAGTGACTCTTCGCTCTGGATGTTTCTGTGCAATTGTCTCCTCATGTAAACACAGCCCAGGAAACGCTCCAAAGGACTCATGTCAGACACATTGATATCCTTGTTGGGATGGGGACTAGGCCTACACAAAGTCTCTAGAGCCTCGTGGGTGAGGAGGGTGGGCACTGCTCCAGCCCAGGGGCGATTGAGAGTGCCTCGAGAGACACCCCTATCCGCTCCAACGCCACCTCCCGCTCCACCGCCTGTGCTCTTATGCTCCGGGCTCTGCCCGGGTCGTGGAGATGGGCGCGGCATGCTGGGGGATCCGGGCCAATTATTATTCGCCGGCGACATGGCCGTAAAGGGAGAGTCCTGGTGGCTCTGCATATACATTTGTGTGTTGGGTCCTGGGCTGTGAACCATATGAGGACTGGGTTGAGGATTCAGTGGGGACGAAGGCATTAAGCCGCTCGGAGACGGATGTGGCATATGCGGCGCTGGCGGGGATGTCAGGTTAAAGTTTCCATGTCCCTGGGCACCACTACCACCACCTGCTCCCGCACTTGGATGCGGGCTGGCTGGCGTGTGCGGATTCGAGCTGGAAGGCGGCGTGTGAGGTGCAGGAAAGCGTAAGCCACTGTCCCTCGGTGACTGGGGGCCTCGCATACCAGTGCCGAGGAATGGAGAAGATCCGCCAGCACTTACTCCAGCCACACTGCTCGGTCCACCAAAGTTGTCCTCCATTCCCATGGGTGACAGAGGATTGTCGTCCTCGTGGGGAGCACGTCCTCTGTAGGCAGCCGACTCATCAACGTACTTGGAGAGGAAAGCCTTGAGACCCTGGATGGGCGTGAATTCCTCCACCACGTTTCGCTCAAAGCGACTGCTCGCTCCATCTCTTATAGAGACAAGCCTGTTGGCTCGGAAGCGCAATTCGAGACAGTAGACCGCTTGATAGGTCAGCCGTATGAGGCAAGGCGATTGGGCCAGCACGCAAAAGGATAGTACTGGCACCTGGGGGCGCTAAAATATAAACTAACATGATTTTATGTTCATCATTTTATGTTGGCAACACTTACCGGGATGCCCAAGAAGGGAAGCACTGGCAGTTTGGCAATGGAGCTCAGTGGGTTGTAGGTCTCGTGCAGTATCTGGGCGATCTGGGTCAGACTATGCTGCTGGTTCAAGTGTTGCGCCAGTTGATCACGCATCATTGAGTGTGCGTTTACAGCCGACATTCCGCCCACGAAGGTTAGTCGGAAACCGTGGGACTGCACCGACCAGTAGATATTGCAGCTTACTTCCTTTTTGGGTCCGTAACCAAGTAGAAGGTTCATATAGCTGTACGACTTAACTACCAGCATGTCGCACAAGGAGAGGCGCTCTGAATCGAAAAGAAAAGTCATTTAATGTATGCCACTATACCAATATCAACTCACTGTTTCGTAGCTGCTCAGCAAAGTCGTAGACAAGTGTGTACAGATACACGATTTTTGACCAGTCGTTAAGCAAGTCCTCGACCGTCTTGGAGAAGTCGTGGTTGGCCTGTTCGTAGGTGAGATAAACAGTCCGCCGACTACCCTGCTCCTTCTGGTGGCTGCTCTGAAGCGGAGTGCTGTAGAAAACGAACTCCACCACCCAGATGCGCACCTGGCTGTTCTTGTTGGTCTGGGAGCGTATCGAAATGGATAGAACGCGGCGCATCAGGTCGTCCCAAACATGGGGCTCGATTTTTGGAAGCCCAGAAGTGCTACTCGGCTTGTTTTCTGCAGTTCCAGCAGCTGCTCCCTGTTGCTGTGGTTGGTTGCTGGCAAAGGTTGTCTTTCCGGGCTGTGGTAATGCCAGAATTTTAAGCACAAGCGATGTAGCATTTGCTTCCACTTGCAGTCCGCTGTGGGGGATATTGTGCTTGGACAACGTTTGCGCCAGGTTCATGAATGGTATCTTCTCGTCACACATGGCCACCACATGCGCCAACTCGGGAATGAAATAGGCAGGGAAGATGGTCTTCTGTTGTTTCGCAGGGGGCGCCAGCAAATCCCCATTCGACTTGCGTTTGTGCGGGGAAACCTCAGCTAAATGATAGTGGTTAAACATGGGTTAAGTCAATAAAAAGTTCACTTGAGCTTACCATCTACTTCTGTACCGGGTCCATGAGTGGCCACAAATGTGTCAAACTCGATGAGACGCATCAGTTTGGTGTAACACTTTGGAATGTCCGAATGCGATTGGGCTACCACTGATACCAGCTGTTTGGCGGTGTTGTCTATCACGTCTAGCTCGTCTTTTTGGAAGGCTACAAAACCCAAGTGAAAGGTGTACTCCATTTCATTGGGCATGGTAGTTTTTTCTTTAAGTTGAACGACCTACAAGGAACGGTACTGTAATCGTGTTATAATATCAACATCTAATTTTATAATCACCAGCACAATATTGGGATGCCTGTGCAGCTTTACATAAATCTTGTGCCTGCCCTGCTGCAAAAGCTCTTGTTCGGGTTGCTGTAGAAAGGGAAGTGTCTCGGTGGCCGTAGCCGGAAGATGTTGTAGTGTTTTATCGCACCTGCGATGGGTGATCCAGAAGCGCAGCTCTGAGAGCAGAGCGGGTAGCCTACCACGGTCCCCATTAAGGCAGTCTTGCATCTCATCCGTGATCGGACAATCCAGATGTTTGGGCACATGGCACCGGAACATACCCGTGTGGGTGTCGATCGTGATGTGAATCTGCTCAGCCCTTAGACAGGGGGAAAGTACAGGCACAGTTAAAATAGCAGGAGTTCCTTGGAGATTGACTGTATTGAACGGATATTGGGTTTTTAGTTGTCACTTCTGCATAATAAGAATATTTAAACTTTACACTCACAGTCAACATCTTTGAGGAAAGCCTGAAATTCCAGCTTAAGGTCGCTCAGCCTGGATACCGACCGAATATAGACAGTGTGCACGATAAGGCGCTCCATTGAAAGATGCTCGGAGCGCACTGCCCGATCCGCTACCTCAGCGGACTCCTTGGCGCCTAGTGAAGGCACGTGGACCACTGCCAGCGGACGCCCAATTTCGCTGGGATCCGACTGGACGGTAAGTCGATAACCCAGCTCCGACTTTAGATCACGCCAGTATGAGACCGTCAATTTTACTCCCGGCACATACTCCTCCACCGTAATGTTGTTGTCGTCAAGTCTCTCGTAGTTCAACCGCAGTGTCTGTGTATACAGAACCTCCAGCTGCAGGGATTGACAGAAGTAATGAAGGCAGTTGTAGACCTCGCTAAGGGCATTGGGATTCTCCACCAGACGGGCTTGGATAAGCTGATGGATGTAGTTAACCTGGAGCGGATGCACAAGAGATTTGCCATCTGAAAAAGGGAATTTGATTACAAGAGGGTTCCTCTTTTCTTTTACTGTATCTACAGCTTACCTCCTGTCTCCTTGTCCTCTACGAGCACATCGATATCGAGCAGTCTCCACGGAACAGTGGGATTATCTCCCATTACGGTCAAGGCCACGCTGAACTCATGCTTCACCTCAAACGTAACGCGTCCGTTGCGAATGCGGAATTCTCGCATCTGAGGAAGCAGTTTGCCTGTGACCAGGCGGTGCTGAATGACCTGGTTCAATCGAAGCAGTGTCTGCCTTTTCTCAGCCGGCGTTATAGCATCAGCGGGAACGATCCGCTCGCGAATACAGGTAGGCAGTCGATTATAAGTACCCGTCGTCAAAACTTCAACTGCGGCGGGTATGTGAAAGTTGGGCAATCTGGCCCGAACCAAAGTTTCGCGTGACATTCGCGCCAACATGTCTGCGGTCTCCACGAAGAGCATGTTTTGCTTATCCAGGAAGCTCATTATCTGCGATGATTTGTCCACCTTCGAAACCGAGTTGCCCCATTTGACCAGCGCATTCAGGCGGGTAAACAAATGGCGCGTGCGTGCAGCATAGTCATAGATCTCAACCTTCCGCTCCATATCCGTTTTGCGAGGCAACCTGGAACGTAAATTAGGCAATTTAAAATGTTCAAAGAGGACATTAGCGAATTATGACTTTCAAGGATTCAATCAAGATTAAGGTTCTACACATTCTGAAATTGACTGCGCTTTCACTATGTCTGTTACTTACAGTTCAGCCAGTACAGTGAGCTCATGATAAGTGCGCTGGATGATGAAGTCGATCAACACCGACATGGACATCGTGTTGATACGCGGTCCGCCCTCCTGTAATTGAGCATAGAATCGGTTTACTATATCCATAAGATGCGCACACAAATGGGACTCACCTGTCCAGCGGGCAAATAGCCTCCTCCACCACCGCCAACACCGGGCATTTGTTCGAGGGGCAAGGGGGTGGGCGCCATGTTTGGTGGTAGTCCTCGTTCGGTCCGCGCCTTCTGCGTTGCGTTACTGTTTTGCTATTTACTTGTGCTCTTTCTCTTGGCACATATTTTTCCGCACTTTTTTTCTCGTTTGCCTACTTTTTCCGGTGTTTTTTGCAAATATCCAGCAACAATTTTCAGCTTGTCTGGCACCAGTGTGACCAACGCATGGTAACCTATAATATACTAAACCATTATACTGGCGTTTTCCTCACCATTGCGTTTTCAGTATTTGTTGTTATCGATAACAATGGTGTTTTGTGATCGGTAGTTATTGACATTCAAAGCCGTTAAAATAATATTAAAAATTATTTTATGTAGAATTTAAAGTAAGGAATATTTAAATGTAAAGTGTATAATTAAAAGTGGATAAGTGGAATATTTAATATATTTCTTTATTGTTCTTACATTAAATACTTTGTTAATGACCTATTAAGTCACAAATGTTCAGGTAAACTGTTAATAATTAATCTCCAGAGTGTGACCTTTTAAATATATAAATAAAATTCAATTTATTAATAATTAAATTCATGAAATTCCCCTAGCTAGGCCAATTATAGACTGAGAAAGTTCATTGACCAAATCAGCTTTCCATTACCATTACCACGGGCGTGTTTTAGTTTTCCTCATGTGGCGGCTGTTAAAAATAAGGAAAACAAAAACATTTCCGCTTTTGTTTCTTTGAATTTTGACACGGTTGATGTTTGGCTGCCATTGCACATGGCACTCGTAGCCATCCCTCCAATCTTCCCAATCCTCAATAAACAGCCACTGATTCAAGTGGCGGCACATGCCAACCTCTCCTGCCTCCTCAACCCTCCATCTCCACACCCCCAAATTTTCCTATGCGTCTTGCAAAGTGGCAGCCACCTACGGAATCGCTCCACTTGCACTTGGAAAGTTCTCGGAGATCGCAGATCGGGGATCGGGACTCGGAGTTTGAACTTCCCGTAGCTACAGCTATAGCTCTCCCCTTATTCGTAAAAATAGAACTTTATGATCTCGCCACGGAACGGCACGATCCAAAACTTTGGCGGCAGCTCTGATTCCATGCCCAGGAATTACTCACATATCCGGCCTCTTGGCTCTCCCCTTTCCCGGAGTCAGGTGCCCCTCTATCGATCCCCACATCCATTCGACAAAACCCTTGAGTTTCCCAAGGAATGTAATTCCTGTAAACAGGATGCGACCGGGCTGAAATTGGGTGCCGAAGTTGCTCTGCTCCACATAAATTACGGCCACTCGAGTTCGGATGAAATCCATGGATCTGATTTCGATCCATCACAATGATTTGGGGGGATAATTTACTAAAACGCATCATTGGAGAATTATTTACCAAACAAAGGAGGAGAAAATTGTGTATTCTTTTTCCACTTTCTTTATATTTTGTTGAATTGGGCATTAAGGCGGATTTCGCCTGTCTGAGTAAATAATTGGACACCCTCCGCCGTCAGGAATTTGCGGATGTGAATTCGATTTACTCGCATCTTTAATTCAGACGAGGTGGTGGCCACACACTGCAGAACACAAGTGCAGCATACCCCCTTGCATTTTACCTACGCAGAGAATAAGAAACGAACCACCCGACGTTGACGGGAGTAGTTAAAAATAAAGATCCAGGGGCACTTAACAAACTGGCATGCACTGAGCAAAATATGTGACCTAAGCAATGGGGTATGCAATCAGCAGATTAATTACTACATACTACTACTAGAAAAATTCGCAAGAATAATTAATTTGAACAATACTATAAGCCCACATGATCATCAAAACAAAAGGATCATCTTATGATTTATTCTTTCAGTGTCGAGGGGAAGGAGCCGCCGCTTGGGAGATTGGACCATGCAATTGCGCAGCAAGTGAGAAAAGCGGACCGATCAGCAAGGGTCTGAGGTCTAGAGGAGTTCCAGAGGGTGGGGGACTAACGCTGGAACCAGGACCAAAATAGATTTATGGCCGCCAGTCGCGACGACTTCGGCGGCTTTCCAGAATCGCTCGCTCCGGATGAGGCCATGGGGTACACTACTATACTACTACACCCAATAAACCAGGCTGATCCACCGCGATTTGGTGGACTATAACTTGGGGGAGACTTCCTTTGTGCCAGCCACACTCTTTTGCTCTTCTGCTCCTTTCTTCTCTTATTAATTGCCGTGATTAAAGTCGACGCAAGATGTCTTTAGCACATGTCACACTTGGCAAGGCCTTTCCCGGGTCCAAAGCTCCGCCGTGATCGTGATGCATGGCTATGGCCCATCCTGACCTTACCACTCAAATTGCATTTCCATGTTGGCGTCAGACAAAGCCCACCCCTTCCTCTCTACTTTTCCGTTTTTCCACACATTTCCTTTGTCTTCGGTGCGTGGGCTGCAGTTGTAGAGTGTGAAAATGCCACAAGAAGTGCGAAAAAGCGAGGCATGAAGACAGGGACAGGGACAGGGACGCACTAAACCGATTAGCTGGAGAAGGGGTGGCCTTAAAAAGATACACCCAGTTCAATCCCCGCCCAACTATAAAGATCCATTTGTGAAACACCGAAAACCAATTCGAACCAGAACCGACAGAACGCCACTGGGCATAAATCATATCGAATATATAGAAAATACGTTAGCACCCAATACATCTAAAGTCCCCCAACCAAAGCCACCCGAAAGAGGCGACATTAAGTTCATTACGCCTGAAAAGTCGAAAATGAAAAGTGGATGAAGCGAGAGAAAACGGGAGAAGCGACGACAACACCTGTGAGAAATCCGTTTTGGGGCTTTCAAAGGCCATAGGAGGTGGAGAGTTCGCAGAGAGTGGAGCATTCTCGGGAGGATGGGGTGGTACAGGTGAGCAAGTCTATTTTGGATGCCCGCCACAAGCACGCAAGCACGGAAAATGCCAAATTGCATACGACTGCGTCACTCTTCAACAAGAGCAAGATTCGGCAGGAGAAGAATCTGAGCAAGAAGAAGATGATTACGGGGGAGCCAGAGAAGCCCCACTCTCTCCATCTCTCTTTCTAGGCAAATCAGCATGGGGGCAGGCAAAAACACACTGACACATGGGGCAAATTCGAACAGTCGAGGTCACAAAAGTAGTATAACAATGCAGCCAAAACTCTGAAGAAATGATGTCAACGACATCTTGTCTGAAAATCTTCCAAGTCGTTTAATCCTCAAAACTCTTTTCGAAATACATTTATTTTAAGGTATTTTAGGCTTTGTCCATTTAAAGAAAATTATCAAAATGCCCCTGTCTCTCTTGACTCTAACTATACATTAGAGAAAAATCCTATTTTGTTGACCTCTCCTGTTTCGCACCAAGTGTGTGAGGTTTTTGACACTGACTGCGGATCGTTAGAATTCTGCGCAGTGGTCCTGCAGCAGGAGCACGGCCACCGCAAGAACAGTTTTCCCTTTCGGAAAATGGAGAGGGGCAAAAGAAGAAAAGAGAGGGGTGAGCGCAGAGAGCGGCAGCATAATGAAAACATTATTTTCCGTTTATTTTTAAACCGCACACACTTGTTCCGTGCTGTTGCGTCGTGGTTCGGTATCGGAGTTATGTTCGATCCGATTCCGATCCGTTCCGTACGATCCTCGGGAAGAGCAGCCAACAGCTGCTGGCTGTCGTCCACGTCGACCTCCTCCACCTCCCTCGCCTGATCTAACCCCTCCGGCGGTTCGGTTCGTTCTGTGTCTGCTGTTCTGCGTCAGCTTCGTCACCTCCTCGAAGTGGATGCGGATGTACACGGAGAGAAATTCGGAGTGGAGAAGTCAAGAATACTTAAGCCGAATTTCACCATCAAACGAAAACAATTATAAACATTTTTGCATTTGACACCGATAACAAAAATAGCTTCAGTTTATATTTACTCAAATTTCTTTCAGTGTGATTCACGGCAGCAGCATCGTAGGAGAGGATGGGAGACGCTGAGGTGGACGCCGCCGGAGGCAGAAGAACCGACAGCGGCGGCCGCAAGATGTAAAAACTGTAAGTGGTCAGGCGAAAGCGCTCAGTTCTTCCTGGGATCTCGCTGCGTGCGCTCGCCTATACGGATGCGGAATCCGTCCGTGGGACTAATTAATCGGTTCGACACTTACCGAGGATCACTACTGGTCCCCGAAAACCAACAGTACACCCATTGCCGCCGCACTGAACGAACTCTTGGCGGGTGATAGAATTCGTGGAACTTGTTCTCTGTGTGTGTTATATTCAATATCGATTCCTCATCGGCAACTGAATCATCCGTCTATATACGAGATACACCGACGAGGGTGGATCGCTTGCCCGAAACTATTCGAACTGCGTGGGGTGAGTTGGCAAAAAAGTGAACGAACGGCGAGGGAAAGTGAAAGGAAAAGGCCAGAGCTTTCCCCGTGCTGATTTTGATGCTTCAGTTTTCCATTTTCCGTATTCCCGTGCCCACCTTTGATACCTTTTCGGTTACACAATAAACCACACACCTCGCTCGTGCATAACTATTTGCCCAGGAACCGAAACAAGATCGAAAATCTGCTCGGCAAATTGGGCCAAAAGATTCGCGTGACCGCAAATGAGCGGCGTTTTCCGATCCCCATTTCGGACCCCCCTTGTAGAGCACCCCCAACCGGACCGAGGCGGACCGCACTTGTTAAATTAATATTATTATTTCTTTTGATATTTTGACATTTACGTGAGCAATGTTTGCATTGGCAATGAGCTTCTGAAAACGGGAAATAGTGGTCGGGAGTGCATAGTATCTTCCCGTATGACTGCATATAGGTTTGGCCATTGTCTAGCCGTGGTAAATGCGTTGTGTGTGCTTGGCAAAACTGCGTAGATCCCCCCCGGAAGATCACCCCAATTTAGGCGCATAAAACAACAGATATATCTGATCAATCGCGCGGTTCGGGCCCAATTACCTGCCGTGATTTACAGGTAAATTCTGCTCCTTTGTGTCCTTTCCCGTCCAAATGTTTATGCCCCCCGATCTGTAAACAAACCAACGACGTGAACGGGAACTGCAGTTGAGGCAACGATTGATGAGGGCCTGCGTTCTGGGGTAAACAGAAATGATTCCCGAATCCAAACAATTCACTCGAAGCGCAGTGGGGGTGGTTTGGGTTCTATATGGTGAATGGCATTGACTCTGGACTCCGGGAAACAGCCAGAGGTTGAGGCTGGCGCTCCGTTTTTTGTTTATTGTGCCTTCGCGTTTTCAAGTTTGAACTAAAATGTAAACTATGCAAGGGATCACTGCCTCCTCCTGCCCCTTGGGATCAGGTATTTATAGATGCCCGATGCCCGAGAGCGAAAGCGAAAGAAAGACGCATGTTAAGGCCAACGAAGCCACCGAAGGCACCTCCGTTGGCCATCAGCATTTCAGCATTTCTCTTGGCTTCTGTGTACATTAACAGGGCTTTGAACTCTCCCCCAGTCCAGAAATACGGACCCGGACTATACGGTCTATACTGCCGTAGACCGGAGACCGGAGAATGGAAACCACGCAGTTCGCGCAGATCTGCGGCGGCACGAAAATGAAAATGGCAAGCGAAAAGTTAAATATTTCACCCGGTCCGCGGCCCATTGTTCGGCATATGGAATGCCCAAGATTGGGCTGGGGGCACAGAAGTGAATCATCCGTTTGGGGGGAGTCTAAGCAGCTTAAATACACTGCGGGAAAAAGAAGTGATATGAATATTTAGTTGCCCCAATTAACTGGTAGAAGCTATGTTTGGAAAAGATCAGAAATGAGTCACTTACTTAAGAATCATGTTCAACACGAATTTCCATATTCTTCCTATTAAAACCAAAGAGAGACTCCCAATGTTTTTCATTAGACTTCAAGGCATACGAGTATATCGACGATCCCTAGCCACCTTCTTCCTGTCATCTGCGATTACCGATCTGCAATCGCACGGGGCCGCGGAATAATTAATTAACGGCCTGTCAGAGAAACATGCGACATTTCGTATGTCCCAAGTGATTCTGACATCGGAAATATGGCACAGCCGTGTCTTCTGGGGGAGGTAGGTGTAGAGGGGGAGATCGAGGGTAATAGGGGAGGCAGAATGGAGGAGGACCACCGATCATTTGTCAGCTGTTTTCCCGGCGAATTCTCAGACGCATATTGTTCTTCGGAGGCTTCAAGTATTTCGTGTTCGATGGAAATCAGCGGTACTCGTATCGAAATGACGTGATTAGGTGGAAAATGGCATACATTCGAGTGCTATTTTAAAATGTATTCGGCAACCACCTGGGAACAGGGCCTCAGGTGGTGGGGCATATAAATAAATGGGCCGCAAATTGCCAAGACACAAGTTATGGATGTCTGGCGGCTTTCGCTCACACCCACTCAAAGGGGGCAGGGGCGTTCTGATAATTTCTTCATGGAAAACCACTTTCGAACACCTTCGGCCACCTTGGCAGCACGAATTCCGCTTAATTGCCGCAAAAACATTTTGATGTACTGCTCCCCGAGGAGAAGCCGAAAATTGGCAGCTAAGAAGGCGCAACAGGTTGCAGATTTCGTCGGCGGGGGCGGATGCCAGATGTTTAGCGAGCGTATTGCGGGGGGAATTCTCACCCACATCTTCCCCAAAACAGAAAATATATATGAAGAGCAAAAGAGCAAAACCAAAACAGTTCTGTATTGCACATGACCTCCTCAAGAGTGGAAACACCGCACTGAGTTGCCGATCTTAATCCCCCTGTTAGGGGTTTTCCCCTCCCAGATTCTTCAATGAGTTCGATTATTTATACAATTTTTGGGGGGCAGCGAAACAAAGAAGAAAACTAAACAAAGCGGCGAGCGCGATGAGGGATATATAAAATTTGATGGCGCTGCAGAGGGAGAAATTGTTAAACGATGTTTAATCTTCCTTTAATGTTTGTCTGAAAAGCAAGACCATAGAATACCTTACACACCACATTCACTTCAACGACCCACCTGACTCTCCGATGCGCCAATTACGTGCGAGATTAATCAATGCCACGACAACATGCACAAATTAAGCGGACTCATTTCGACATCAATTTATTTGACCACGCAAAAGGCGAAGATGATGGCTAGCACCACCGAGCCACAGAGCAGCCAACAAGTGCCAGAATCAGAATCAGAATCAGAATGCAATATGCAACGTGCAGTATGCAGTGACGTTAATCATACGCCCCGTGGGCTCTGCTCACCCTCAACCATGTGCGATAATTCCTATTCGGCAATGATGATGATGATGCAGACGACTTTGGCTCACATCTGAGACTCCGAGCGTGGCCTCTCTGCTCTGTCCTTAATTATAAATTGATGCATTTTCAAATAAACAAACAAGAATTATGGCGTAAGCACAAGGAGGGAAGGCAAGATCTGTGATAGGTGGGATGATAGATGGCGACGATCGCACTGTGGATGTGCGTTCCCGCGGGGCTTTCTCATGCCGAATAATTCGATTATTGGTGTATTTTTGTGCATCTTCAAAGACGTGATAAACCACTAATTTCAGCTAAAATGATTCTAATTAATGAGCAAACTATTTGATTTGGTTATTTCTCACTAGGAAAGTGTGATGAACTCTATTGGAAAACTAAACATAAGATTGACTAGTTTGGGTGTGAAATACATAATTATTATCAACAACGAGGCAGACAAAGAATGTTAGTGAATGTTTTGAATTTCCCGTTTACACGTATTTTTAGCTTTAGACGATGATGTCGTCTATTTTAGCCATGTAGTGACGCACCAAGTGCGCATTCTAAAATAATATTTCGGGGGTAGTCGTGCTGTATTAATCGTGGAATTTCCCCATGTCTTGCAGGCATTTCACCACCTCCCCATAACCATGACGAAGGACCAGCAGGCCACGCCGATTCCCGAGGAGCTGTACAATCTTACCCAGCTGGCAGAGGTCACTCTGGCGGCGGGTCCCATAATCACAGCCGAGGCAAAGCCACCGCCGATCGGTGGTGCTAGTCTGTATGCCTCCTCGGACGACGACTCCAACTACTACAGCCACAAGGTGTTCGATCGCAGGAAACTTCGCCGCTGTACCATCTCCGACTCGAACTCCTGCACCAGCAGCAGTTCCAGCTCCACATCCAGCCTGCAATCCGCGGAGGACCACCTGGGACACAAGGAGCATTCATCAGAGCAGCAGCATGCGGAGCAGGGAGATTTCCTCCACACCAGCTTGCTGCTGGAGGACGAGCACATCTGCCCCGAGTGCGGCAAGAAGTATTCCACATCCTCCAATCTAGCCCGTCATAGACAAACACACAGGTAAAGTTGGAAGTTAGTTGGCCAAAAGTTGGATCAAAAGTAACTCAAACTGTCATATTTTCAGGTCAATCATGGACAAGAAGGCGCGCCACTGTCCTTATTGCGAGAAGGTGTACGTTTCGATGCCCGCGTACTCGATGCATGTGCGCACCCACAACCAGGGCTGCAAGTGCAAGTTCTGTGGAAAGTGCTTCTCGAGACCGTGGCTCCTCCAGGGCCACATCCGGACCCATACCGGAGAAAAGCCCTTCAAGTGCGGCGTCTGCGAGAAGGCCTTCGCCGACAAGAGCAACCTGCGTGCCCACATCCAGACCCACTCGAACACCAAGCCACACACCTGTGCCCGTTGTGGCAAGGCCTTTGCCCTTAAGTCATACCTGTACAAGCACGAAGAGTCCTCCTGCATGAAAAACCGCGGTGGGGTCTCGGGATCGGTTAGTTCCACATCCAGTAACCGACCTCCCACATCACCCAAGATGCAGCACACCGAGGTGGGAGGCGGCTCCAGCTCGGCATTGACTCCTGGATCACCTGCCACAGTGGTGAGTTTACTAAATCGATCTTGGATGTAGAAAATATATTTATTATCTTCTTCATCTGGTTTTTTCCAGGGTATTCCTCCAGACTCTGCCAAGTCCACGCTGGCCAACAAACTGCTGCAGAAGGAAAAGGAGCGCAGGCAGGCGGCCCTGGCCTTTCAGGGATATCCAGCTGGGCCGGAAGTCACTCCTTACAATCACTCCGCTTCCGCCCTGGAGGAGTACGAGAAGTTCAAGCGGATCAACGTGATCCAGCCGACGGTGCTGCCCCACAGGATGCCCAGCCTGTATCAGGAGCTGCATTCTCCACTGGCCTTGCCGTTGGCATTGCCCTATCACTATCAGGCCCAGACCACGCCTGCACAAGGAGTAGGAGTCAGCAGCGCCACCACGCAGGAACAGCCTGTTGACTTCTCGCCCAAGAACAACTTTACACACTCGGCCAAGACGAGTCCCTTCGAGCTGACTAGGAACTACGCCATGGTGGCATAGACACAGTCAAAGCCTAGCCAGGACACCAAGCAAAAGACACCGAAGAGAGCAAGAGCACTACCCAAGCGATTCGAGGAGACCTTTTCTAGACCTAGACCACTAATCCAGAGTTTAATCCAAAGCCAAATCCAACCAAAGCCCACCCTGAACCAGGACATTTTCTTACTGTAGTCAACGAATATGTGATAAAAATGCAAAAGAGCTAAAATACCATTAGAGAGTAGATGATTCCAGAGCGACGAAAGCACGCAAAGCTTATCGAGAAGGAGAGTTCTCTCTTCTGAAGAAACTCCAAGGAAGAGGAGGTTATACACAGTAGATATAGAGAGAGACAAGGTTGGATCGACCCCGATTGATCGTTTGATCTTCACTTAGATTCTTAGATGTAACAAGAGACTTCTTAGAGACTTGCCAAGACGAACAGCGACAAAAACCAATGTAACCAGTATTTTTTTATAGCACATACGATATCGGTCAAAGAGCGAGAGATATAGCGCACACAACCCCGATCGAACACCGCAGCAAAGCTACAAACTTACACATAGTCATATAGAGTTATGATTTTATAAAGAACTAAAAGATATATCTGTACACGCCCCCTACTAACCCCATTAATCACTTCGCATTAAGGCATCGGCACCGGCTTTCTGCCTCTGGGCTGAGAGTCGGTCCAACACGAGAGAATTTCTAGTCTTTATCTTTAAATTCAGCGCACATTTGGCGGAAGGAAGAAGGGATCCCGATCCCTGATCCTCGATCCCCTCACTTCTGTGCCTGGCGTTACTTTAAGCACTTTACGGCCGCATGTGGTGCAATAATTGACATATCTCTAACTCTAATTAGCGCCTACCACATATCATTTAGTACCCTGTATATTTTCATTTTAAGTTGATGGGTGATCACTCATTATATCTTAGCATCTAACACCTAGTTATCGAGAGACAGGCACCCACTGCATTTCGTTTACTCACTCGATTAACTCCGAATCAACCTACAGCTAATCGCACCAAAGATACTTCGACTTAGATGCAGACGCATACTACCTTTATATACTCTTACTTACCATATACACCAAAAGATATATATATATATATATATATACACGTATACGTAGCTCTAAACTGTATTATAGATTTGCACACTAAAGGAATTAAACGAGATCGCCTGATCGCCGTGAAATCAAATACGAAACTGTTTTTCTCTGGGGAGGATCCTATGGATCCTCTTTGGAACTAAGGAACCTCCCTTTACTGCCTAACTTTGCCCGCTTTTTTGGTTCATTTATTAAATTTTATCTGCCAAATGGGTGAAAAACATTTTCCAACAGTATCATATACGACGACTGCGAATTTTGGGCTACCATCGACGGGAGGATCACTATTCTGATGCCCTGAATGTGAGTAAAATGGGAAATCGAAAAAACTTTAAACGATAAACATAAAACGAAGAGAAAACGAAGTTTTAGTTTTCCCTTGGGGGTTCGGATTCGGCTAGACCCAAGCCGAATCCCAGTCGCGAGGCCGTAGTGTCCGATCCTCCTCCCTGGGTAAAGGGAGTCACCACTTTCAAGGCCGGCTGATCTTTGATGTCGCCCACAGATTCCAAGGGGGCCATGTGCGATCCCCCACAACGCAGCACCAGATCCTCGTAGCTCTTGTTGTGAAGGAGACACACCAGGATCACGGTCATGTTGTCGCCGCCCAGACCACAATTTTGACCGTCCGTGGCCAGGCAGTGGTTCATGAGATCCTCGCAAATGGTCTCGGGTTGAACACCCTGGGAAATGCGCAAACGCACAAACTGGCAGGCTGTCGCGCTGGTCATCACATCCCATATGCCATCGCAGGCGAGAAGGACAAACTCCCAGTCCTCGTTGATGTCTCGGATCTCCACATCCGGGCAGGCAGTCACGATCTGATCCTCGGGACTCTTGTGCGTGTTCTTCTTATAAATGAAGTCGCCGAGGGCGCGAGAAAGGGCCAGATTGCCGTTGACCCGGTTGAACTCCACCCATCCGCCGCCGGCCAAAATCCGACTGGTCTCGCCCGCGTTATTAGGCTTGTGGTCCGAGGATAAGGGCACAACCACTCCCGCAACACAGGCTATGGCCCGCGAATCGCCCGCATTGGCGCAGTACAGGCGCCGCTCCCGAATGAGCACCACAACTGCCGTAGATCCTGCGGACTGCTCTCCAAAGGATCCATTGTGCAGCATCTCGCGATCGAAGTCCAGGAAGCCCCTTTTCAAGGCCACCGCCACGTTGTTGGTATGGTACTCCGGCCTCTCCGTCACGAACTTGTGGAGATGCTTGGCCGCGCACTTGGCCACCTGTGCACCTCCATGCCCGTCGTACACCCCGAAGAAAGCCGCCTGCGGATCCTCCGGCAATGATAGAATGTGAGTATGGGCATCCTCCATTTCCACGCGCCAGCCCTGCATGGCACTGGAGCCCACGACATAGCTGGCATTCTCATTGCGGGCTGTATCCTTGGTGACCACCGGTTCCGACAGCGTCTGGCCCATAACGAACTTGAAAAGCGAGTAAGCCATTGGCAATGCGATTTCACGAGATACTCACTCTGGTCTCTGGTATTCCTCGGTTGATGGAGAGAGCTCTTAGGTAATACCTTCAGTTATGGGAGCCAAACAGTCTAGCCAGTCTGGAAACGCTCAAAGGGTGTTAGGAGTTTAGACAACTGACTTGGGGCCACTGCCTACTTAGCTTCCAGACACGATTTGCTGGATCTCTGGATCGAGCTCTGAGTGGATCAGTAGAGGAGTTGTACTTGAGGATTTGCCAGGAATGTTTCAAAATAAATCCCCTTTCTATAATATATATTAAAAGGCTGATTAAATCTTTTTTGATAATTTTGTGTTTTGTATTTGTTACTTGACGTTTTTGTTTCTTTCCTTTTGTTCTTTTCATTTGTATGTTTTTGTAATTTTGTTACTTTGATAGCGTTGTTTTATATACACAAATACATTAAGTATATAATGATATACGCATATCGCGCATACTAAATCTTGTTCGTTTCATATATAGACATTTATTTGTAATTGTTGTTGTTGTGGCTGTAGGTTACTACACGTTTATCCTTTTAGGCATATGTACGAGAGTATGTAATTATCATAATTTATATGCATCTGCATCTGTGAGTGGTGTATCTGTATCTGTATCTGTATCTGTATCTGCGTTCGTGTTAGGTTTCGAGTTTCACAATTCTTAATTAATCTTTAATCCGCTTTGTATATATTCTCTTTAAAGTGTAAAGACACTAAATTTCACAATGTTCGATTTCTCTCCCTCTACGGGGCTACAGACTACAGGCAATCCCCCATACCCAAATGGGTTTGGGAGGGGTCTTGCAAGCCAGAACTAGCCGAAAATCATTGGTAGACTAAGGTTAGTTAGTCGTATATAGAGTGTGTGTGTGGAGGGTGTAGTGGGTAGTGTGTAGTGTATAGTGTCAGAGTATGTAAATAAGTTACGAAAATGTTGGGGCTTATTTATCTCATGTATGTATATATATATATAGTTTCTATATCGATATAGACGTATTATAAAATCTCTAAACAGCCATAAAAGTCAAAAGTTCTTAATCATATCTATCAATTATCTAGACGCGTTTACACTGCCACTAAGTTGACGTAACTTGAGTTTATCTTTATCTTTATCTTTATCTTCATATTTATATTTATATTTATTTGTATTTCTGCATAACTGCTGCTTAAATCTCGTGAAATCGGAACTCGATTGTTATAGGTTTAACTGTTGGTTAGGGAGGGAACTCTATACATAAATACAAACGTTGCGGCTCATTGTTTCACTTTTTTAGTTTGATTGGATTTCGATTTGGATTTGAGTTTGCTTCGGCTTGGTCTCGAGACTTTCAATTCAACTTACTCACTATGGCTACGATTAAGTGTATTTGATAAATTAGCCGGCCGGCCTCCTATCTCTGAGGGGCCCTCAAAAAGGTACGCATATCCGATTAAGACAGAGAGAGATATACTTATTACTTCGCGTTTACATATTATATATATATTTTGATTCGCATCTAACGCTAGTATCGATAGCTTATCAAGTACAATGCTAAATGTATCGGTGTGCTTGGTTTTTGATATAAGTTTGAATTTCATTTCATTTTCATTTTCGTTTCCTTCGATTTCCGTTTCGATTTCCTTAAGACTACGTAAGAGAGGACACCAAGTAAAAACATTCAGTACACATTCATAGAGATACTAGTAGAGTACAAAAAAGTCGATAAAGTACGATTAGAGTTGGGTGTGGTGTCGAGTGTTGGTGAATACTTTGAGTAGTTGGTGTTAGTGAGGTGTGTTTGAGAAGTTGGTGAATTTAAATTGAGTTTGTGGTGAGTTTAATGAGTAGTTCTTCATAAAGCGTTGGTGAGTCCGTGTGGAGATGCAGTATTGATGAGCCTCTGTGTTCTAGTGTAGTTGATTGTGGATTGACTTAGACATTTAGAAGAACATCAAGGTCAAACCTCTTCGTTGGCGATCGAAAACATTAACTTGGGACAGGAGCTTCTGGTTGCACTTTGCCCAGCAATTCGTTGTTGTCTAACCCAGGGATCCCTTGATCAAATTTGAGGTCGGGGATTCGTAATCGTGATGCTAGTAGGTACACAAGGGGTCAAGGTCGTACATATGAATATGACTTGGTGCCCACGCAAAACAAACCCTATATCCTAGTGGTGTGAATGGGTGAGTGAGTGTATGTGTCTGTGAGTGTTTGATTATCCGTCTTTGGTTTACTTCTCTTCCCTTCCTTCTTCACTTTGTAATCGAATGCAAAGCCTGGCCTCTACTCGCTATTTTCGCTAAATATACACGTATCTGTATATCTGTATATGGATATCCGTAGTCTCTGCTCGAGTATATAAAAATATTTAAATTCTTTAATCTGAAACGCGTAATCGCCCAAAGCACGGGCTGCCTCCGCTGCAAGTACATCTATGTTTCCGTATATGTCGTATATAAAAAGCAAATCCCATAAAAGTGCTCCTCTGATCTATTAAAACATATATTGTTTCGATTACGTTTTCATCACCCAATCACTCCGATTCGCTCTGGCGTTTCAATCTCCCGCTCGTCTTGAAATCAGCAAAAAGGTACGATCATTTTAAATTCAATATCTTTGCCGTTAGCCGTACTCGTATGTATGTCCTAGCGTGTACATATATGTCTATGAGTATGATCTCAGCTCTAGCTGCTATTTATCATATTTCTTGTGTATATATAACGTATATTGTTGTCTGATCTTTGTTTTTGGTTTTTGGTTTTTGGTTTTCGTTAGGTAGGAAATATGCTAGTCTTATAAATTTCACACATCAACATTTCGGTTATCATTAATATCTCTCCCGTTGCCTAGGAAATAATTCTTAGTTAGTAAAATATATCCGCGAATATATATATATATATATTCATAGATTAATCTATTTTAATCTGTGTGTATTAAAAACATCTAATGTCGATCCGAACCACAATTTGTTAAGAGAGATTTAGAAAGTTCTTCAAGTGAAGGAAACACGAAGAGTATATCAATATCAATATCGTAATTAAGTTACTGGTAGCCTACTAAGGCGGTACTATACAGATCCGTATCCGTGTCATTATGCTAATTCGGATAGGGCCCCGGCTAACTGCTTGGATCTCGCTGTCCAGCTGTCCGAAGTGTGTGTTCCGGCTGTTGTTCAGGTCCAGCTCTATCGAAAGAAATCTAATTATGGACGGGTTCTTATCAATCTTGTTTGTCAACTCCTCTTCTCTCTGTCAATCTGCCCAATTCAGATTGGTTTGAAATTTGCGGTTCCGATTCGGCTTCGCTTGCTCTGCCTTGGTAAATGCAAAACAAAATATCTCTACTTTCCGGTAAAAGCTCATCAATTGTTGGTCAATCAAACAACTTCGTGGGGCGGTTTAGGGGTTTAATCTTCGAGGGCTCTGGCGGGGCGTGCGAAATTAATCAATAATCTGCAGAAACCTGGTTGGTCTTTAACTAAATCTAAATCAGCTGAAGCTAGCCTCTTGCGGGGACCTTCTACTACTAGGCTCCCCTAACACTAAAGTTAAATTTAAATTATTTGCACAATAGCTTTGACTTGGTAATCGTTATCGATATCATTGCACAGTAACTACGATTACTATTAGATTTAAACTTAAAAGTTATTTACTCCTTTGTAATTTGGTGGGATATATGTTGTATTTGTTGTTGTTGTTGTTGTTGTTTTTGTTGTTATTCATCATCATCTCTTTTTTGGTTTTTGTTTTTGTTTTTGATTAATTTGTTCTGAAAAGCTCTAAGAAAAAGGGAAATAAAGTAATACAAAAAAACTGAAGAAAACGAAAATTAAGATATATGTTTATATATATTTATGATTTCTGTATTCTGTAGGACATAAGTAAATATAAGCATATGTAAATCTGGTAATAGTAAGCAATATATACGGTATATGTGTGGCTATGTTCCGTTTTTAAACAAGTTAAGCGAAGAAACAAAGTAAATTAAAGTACATTTAAATGGTTAAAATAGTAAATAGTAAATAGTAAGGTAAAGGCAACTCATCCTCAGTATGATTAAACAAGTACATATTAAATATTTAGTAAACACCGATCAGCTTTATCGCTCTATAGTATATCGTATATCTTCATATTCTGTCGGAAATCGAGAGGACGACGAGTACAAATATTAAGGCTACACAGTTAAAACATTTCTCATTTAAATATATATACTATATACGTATGTATAGTGTGTGTGTGTGTGTGGATCTCCCCACCCCTCTTAAATACAAATCCTCCGACAGTGGGCCGCAAAAGTCAGCTACCGACTCGGCCCACCTGTGTGTGTGAGTGTGTTTAATATAAGTTTAATTTGCTTGTTTTTGTTTTTGTTTTTAAATAGAAATGTAATTTGTCGTTTGTAATATATAAATTGAATTTGTCGTTTAATATAAATTTAATTTGTATGTTGTTTTCATAAGTCTATTAACGTTTCGTTTTTGTTACATTTAAAGCGTTCTTGATTTGTTTTCTTGTTTTTGCTTTTCGGTTTGCTTTCTTTTTGATGCTCCTAAACATTGAGTAGAAAGTGAAGAAAAGTTATCTGCCCTCGCAGATTTCTAGCATATATAATATATAATATATATATATAATGTAAGTTGCACACTGAGCGGGTGCAGGACAAGAAACACAAATCGGAAACACACAGCTGTTGTTATTCAATATCCATGCTTATTTGACTATATACTTTAGTTGAATGGTCCATAAAATTTCTATAAAAAAAGAACTTCTTGAATACATCTATGTCTAGTGTCTATCATCTAGATAAGGTTCCCTCTCGCTCTCCCTCGACTTCAAACAAGAATCTTCAATCTTCAATCTTCGATCTTAAATCCGTCGAGCTGTGCTTCTTCGTTTCTCACAATTACATTTACAATTGTTAGCTGCTGGTTGCCCTTATTGTTTATACACAAAATATATATATATATATCCATAATATAAATGTACTCGAACCACGTCTATATGTCTAGTTGTCTATATTTGTTGGTTGTTTTTGTTTTTGTTTTTACTCGTATATATTCACAACACTAACGTTTCTTAATTACGCCTATGCATGCTACGGTTGGTTTTCCTTGTTCCTACTACAAAAACTGTTATTTCTCGGTTGTTAAAAAGTTAATTACTTGGTTAAAAAAACGATTTGTTGTCGTGCTAATGCTATTGAATCCTGCACATTAATTAGTTAACATATAGATGCATATTCCGTATCCGTATCGCAATTGGTTATTCATAATTTTAGGTAATTTCTACTCGCCAACGACGACGACGACACTGACAAAAACGTTCGCGCTTGTTAAAAACTACATCACAATAATTATATGCTATATCCTTTTGTCGGAGTTAATTCATCCCTATTCCGATTCCGATCCCGATCCCGAAATCGCTAACTGTACACAGCTGAACTAGGAGGGGGCGGAGGATGGTTAGATTCACTTCTGCTCTGTATCAGTATCAGAATGCATTCTTTATATATGTAGGAAGTGACAGCCTCTGAAGGCCGATTTATCAAGAAGTCAAGAGGTCAAGATCTCTGATAAGTCGACCTTGAGGGGATGTAAAATTAGTTGCTGCTGCTTGGTTAGTTAATATGCGACAAGTTAAGAGTTTAAGTCTAACTACGAAATACTTTAGGAAACCTATTTAACAAGATTTAGTTTATACTTTATATATAGGATTTAGTGGGCGTGTTAAAGTAAGCCAGGTTTGTACATATCAAAATTGCATTCTATATTACAGATTCTTCTCTGGGGGGAAGCCTAAAACGAGGGGTTGTACTGGGGGCAAACTGTAAAAGCCTAAACTGCTAGATTGCTTCTTATTTCTGTTTGGTTTTGTACTTCAGTAAACTTTCTCCTGCGCTCCCCTCGGCGAAAGTATAACTAAGATGCAGATCTTGTTCTGGGACCCAGATACACGGGGCTAAAACAGGGAAGGGTGAAGTCTAAAAGATAAACGATAAACGTACTAACTGGCTTCGCTGTCCTGATTTCAATAACTTGCGCTGATAAAATCGGGTCTTAGTCGGGCTCTAGTTTTAGTATCGATATATGTATGCGTATTATGTACACTTTTTGTTCCTATAATTATTTGTTGTTGCTCGTTAAACATAATTTAGAATTGTTATCTGTTAATCGTTAATCGTTAATCGTTAATTGGTAATCGTTAATCGTATTTGTAATTCTTTCGCGGCTATTCCTATGAGTGAGTTACGAGTGTGTAAAAAACGTTCTTTGTTCTATCCTCTATGTCTATGTCTATGAGCTATGTAATTGTTAGGCTTTCTTTGTTGATATCTCCTAGGGTAGTTCATTATTTGCTTTTTTGTTTGCTAGTAAGGTTTTTGCGGTATTCAATTTGTTGTGGTTCTCTATTAACCTCCTCTAACTCTACTCCTGCTTTACAATGTTCATCGTTACATCATCTTCATATTCATCTCCATTATCATCATCATTATCTTTTCAATTTGTTTTTTTGTTGCTTGTTTGTGTAAAAGGCAAATTGCATAACAATGTGTTTATTTATCTGTTTGAAGTTGCTTTTGCTGCTGCTGCTAAGTTTTCAATTTCTGAGGTACTTGCTAGGGAATTTCGAAGCTTTCTCTTACTGGCCGCTGGCCTAAGTTGCAGCTGTCGGCGTGCCGTAAACTCTAGTTTCCTCGCTCTCTGGTTGATATATAGTATTCATAATAATAGTGTTACATATGCATGTATATAATATATAAGTGGATTATAGAGAATATTATGAGGAATTATCAATAAAACACACAACACACATTAATAAAACGCTTGTTTCGAAAAAAAAAAAAAAAAGAATATAACTCGATATGCCTCCAATTTGCATACTTCGAGGACAAAGAAGCTGTAGCTGTAGCTGTAGCTGCAGTGTGTGTGTGGGTGTGGGTGTGGGAGTGGCGCTGTGCTTAATACCACAACTTGCTAAAGTTAGCCTGAGCACTGTACACCCAGCTGCGTGTAGGAGTGCTGTACATTTATTTTTAATTAATTAATTATTTAAAAAAATAATAAAAATTAATAGTAGGAGAAATGGTAATCAGTGAATGAGATCCTTCGGGATCTCGAAAAAACTAACTGAGAACTGGCGACGAGGTTGGGGACGTGGACTGGGACTGGCTTAATAATGATGGCGGCGTGATTTACGTGTTGTGGATGCCGTGTCTGAGGATGTGTCTGTTTCTGTTGCTGCCGCTGTCGCTGCTGCTGCTGCTGCTGCTGCTGCTGCGGTCTCCTCGCTGCCAGCCTGCAGCATGGAGTTGTTGTGGATGATGGTCTGCTGCATGAGCAGCATGAACCACCAGCATTGAGTCAGCTGCAGCTGCTGCTGCTGTTGCTGCAACTCTTGGCTCTGCTCCGGATTCTCACCTGCCTCGCCCGAGGCCACAAACGATCTGGGAATGGAATAAAATATATTCTATCATTAGCTTTAAGTTTTGGCTTGACAGAGAAGTCTGATTTCGGCTCGGCATCCCGGCATTTTCGACTCACTCGAGCGTTGAATCATTCGATCTGGCTCTAGCTCAAGATCATAACAACAGTGGTGGTGGTGTGCGGTGTGTGGTTTGGTGGTTCTTGGTTCTTGGTTCTTGGTTCTGGGTGGATGCTCATCCTCGTCCCGCGTCTTTCCTCATCGCCCCTCTCCCCGTCAACTCCCTTCGTCGGCCTACTCAGCCCCATACCATATGTTGGTGGGCGCAAAGTGCGCCGCGTGTTTGCTGGCGGCTACCTGGGCAGGACTGAGCGGTCCAAACTGGCTGTACTGGGTGGGAATCTGGATGTGCGCCGGCAGCGGGTGTGATGGAATCACCTGAAAAAACAATATATTAAGTCAGTGAACTAGAATAAACCATAGTAATATAAATCCAAACCCACCTGACGACTGGAGCTGTTGTGGGCCGGAGGTGGGGCAACCACTGCCCGGTTGGCGTAGGCATAACTGGGCGCCGCCTGCGACACGAACACCGTGGGACGGCGGTAGATGTCGCCCTGCGCATAAATATCCGGCTGCAACAAAGCGGCCGCCGCCGTCGAGGATGGCGATCCGCCCAGCGGTGTTCCAGTCTGGTGATGATGATGGGCATGACTGTGATGGTGGGGATGCGGGGCCACAGCCGACGTCGGCGGCTGCGTGGCTCCTGGCAGTCCCACGCTGCCTGGAGGTGGCTGCGATGGCTGGCGATAGACCTGTGGAGGACCCCACGATGGAGGGCCCACACTGGCTGCCGCCGCAGCAGCTGCAGCAGCCGCCGCTGCAGCGGCTGCACTGATCGACGAGGATGATGATGTGGAGCTGCTCTTGGAGTGAGCAAGCGGTGGAGCCACCGACGGCGCCACATAGCTGATTGGAGCCACCGAAGGAGCCTCTCGCTTTGGATGGGCCAGCGGCAGAGCGGATATTCCCGCTCCCGAAGATGTGGGTGCCCAGGAGGAGCGCTTCGTGTCCAATTGCTGTGGCGGTGCAGCTGCATACTCTGGATAGAACTCAGCCGGCTCCTGTTTCGTAGGAATGTGCGGCAAGCTAGCAGAGGATGACGGCTGGCTGGGGACCTGCGGCTGGTAGCCACACTCGCTCTGGGCCATGGCCAAGATGCGTTTCTTCTGCGACTGGCCAGGCTCGTACTTGATGCTCGGCTGCGGCTGGGGCAGCACCTGCTGCGGTGGTGGCTGCGGCTGGTACTGCTGCTGCTGCTGCTGCTGCTGTGGGGGAGGAGCAGGCTGCTGCTGATGCTGATGGTGATGCTTGGGACTTCCCACGGCTGCTGCGGCGGCGGCATGATGACGTCGACGGGCATCCTCTGGATCGTGGTCACCTACGGTTACGCATGGAATTACTAGCTGGACGTGCGATGACTTATGGCGACTGAGATGCGACTGAGATTGAGATTGGGAGGAGCTGGGGCAGAGGACAGGGGCACCAAACTGAACGGATGAGGAGGACATGGCAGAGGAGGAAGAGGCGGGGGCGGGATGATGGGGGTGATGCTGATGGTGACTGGAAGTGGAAGCAGACGTGGAGGAGGACGTGGGCGTGGCTTGGTAATGAGGATGCGTCGCCGGCTGTGAATGAGTCGGAGGCTGTGATTGAAGCTGATGCTGAAGCTGCGATCCCGATCCCGCTGCCGATCCCGTTCCCGTTCCTATTCCACTTCCACTTGCTGGCTGATGAGGCGGATTCAGATGATGAGACGGATTCAGATGATGAGGGTGGTGGTGGTGGTGGTGACTACTGCTACTGTGGCTACTGTTACTGCTATGGCTACTGCTATGCTGGCTACCCTTGCCGCTGTTGCTTCCCAGTTGGTTTTGGTTCGAATTCTGAGTCTGGGCATTACCATAAGTGATCTGCTGCTGCTGCTGCTGTTGCTGTTGCTGCTGCTGGGGATGTGGAAGCGGTTGATGGTGGGCACTGCTCCTACTGCAAGAGGAGCTGGGCGCATTCTGCAGCAGACTGCTGCTCGTCTGCGACTGGGCATGCGCCCGCTGCTTAAGCACCGGCACCTGGGCTCCTCCACCCTCGCCGCCCTCGTCCTCGCTGTCGGAGATTGTAATGACAGCCGTGGGCGAGGGCGTGTCATGGATGGTGATGGTTGGCTGCTTTACATGCTGCAAATGCTGTGGATTCTGAGGATGCGGCTGCTGGCCATGCGGGTGCTGCTGGTGGGCATGGGCCGGTGGCTGTTGGTAAACCACTGCTCCTCCTGCTCCTCCGTTGGCGTTGCAGTTGCTTACGATGTGGTGGCCCGAGGAGGTGCTGTAGGGCTGGGCATGAGCGACGGGTACGTGGTGGTGGTGCGAGCTGGACGAGCTTCCGTTCACAATGTCTGGGAAGAGGAAAGAGAGTAAATTAGTGAAAATATTAAGTGGAAAACAGTTCCAAGGCTAATAAAGAATGGCAATAATTTGATATTCCATCTGCACTCACTGCTAGCGGAGGCAGCCGACGAGGCCACCACCGATCCTGCGCTGGTGCTGTAGCCACCGCCGTTTCCGTAATTGCAGTTGTGGTGCGTGTGGTACTGCGGCGAAACGTGGGCGGTCCGCTGGTACCGCTGCTGGTGGGGCGGCGAGCTCTCCTTCACCCGCTTCTTCACCGGCGACAGCTGCTGGTGCTCCTTCTTCTCGTGGCGCGGCACGCGATAAGAGTTGCCCTTGCTGAAAGCGAACCAAGACATAAGGATTCGTTTTTCCAAAGGCTATGCAGCAGATACTCACGCTATGTGATGAGCCGGCGACTCCTTCTTGAGATCGTTGCGTGGCAAGTTGAGATGGTGCTTGGGGTAGATCTCCTCCACATTAAAAAGAGGCGTCGAGTCGACGATGAGCGAGTGGGCGGGCGCCTGCTGGGGCCACGACGGGACCAAAGCCATCTGCCTTCCGGTCTGAGGCCAGGCAACTCCGCTGGCCTGCACCCGATTCGTCAGCAGCATTCTCTGGCCAGAGGTTGGCTCCACCATGGAAACCGGTACGGGCACATTGACGTACTGCTGCGGCGGCACCTGCAACGGTGGCTGCATGGTGGCACTGCCCACCACCACATGCTTCGTCGGACTGGGCATCGTCTGGTAAGAGGGCGGGCACAGGATGTTCGAGACCAACTGGTGCTGGAAGCTGTCCGTCCGTGCCTGCGGATACTGCCGGGCCACACTACGTCCGTTGTAGATCTGGTAAAGTCCCTCGTACGCCAGAGGGCGGCCATCGCGAACGAGGCGCTGCACCTGGCTGGTTAACTGGTTGTTGATCGTAAACGTCATGTTCTCCGTGCTCGAGGGCACGAAGTTGGTCACCAGCGTCGACGCAGGTTGCACTCTGTAAGGGAATCGAAGTTATATATAGTCTTATGTCAGGAACTCTCGAGTGTAGCCTCTACTTACGTGTGGAAATCGCCGCGGCGACACACCTCCATCATCTGCACGGATGCCTTGACATTGTTGCAGTAGACATAGTCAACCAGATGGGTCAACCGCGTGAACGAATGGCTCAAGGCCTCCGCAGGCGTGAGACGCCGCTCCTGATCGATGGTTAGCATGCGCTTCAGCAGATCGATAAACTCCCGCCTGTCCGTCTTCTCAGCCAGCAACTGGCCTCCCTCCAGATCAGTGGGCACATTCACCTGTCCAATGTCATCTAGACAGTTAAAGATGTACTTGCGCGCCTCCTTGCTCTTGGTATTGGTCTCTGCCTCGTGCTCCTCGGTGGTCTTTAGGCGCCAGAAGGGATACGTGGAGTCCACGTCGCGGTAGAAGAACTTCGAGGTCTTCGAGGCGCTGTTCAGCATGTGCTCCGTAGGCAGTCCCTGCGTTTGCGAGATGTAGCGGATCTGGTCGAACTCCGAGCTACCCGGGTACAGCGGCCAGCCCAGGAAGAGCTCCGCCACCACACAGCCCAGTGACCACATGTCGATCGCCTCGCAGAAAGGAAGGCCCAGGATGATCTCGGGGGCACGATAGTACCGCGACTGCAGGTACGTGTTGCACACAGTTTTGCTCACGTGAGAGGCGCTACCGAAGTCGATCACCTTGACGCGGTAGGGCTGACGCACTGGGTCCACCAGCATGATGTTCTCGGGCTTCAGGTCGGCATGGATCAGACCCAGTTGTTTCAGCTTCAACAGGGCTGTCAATACCTGAGGTTCAGAGGGAACAAAGGATTAGCTTACTCAGAAGTTCCAAGGGGCTATAAAAGCTGCAAGACTCACCTGCTCCAGAATGGGCCTTATGTACTTGAGGGGCAGCGGCGAGAACTTGTTCTGCTTGAGGAAATCATACAGGTTCTGCTCCAGCATCTCGAAGACTAGGCAGGTGTGGTTCTTGTGCTGGAAGCACTCAAAGGCCCGCACAAAGTTGAACTCGTCGGCATTCTCCTGGCTCAGACGCGAAAGGATCGAGACCTCTATCTGGCCCTGTCGCGCGTACGATGGATGGTTCTTCAGGATCTTGATGGCCACGATCTCGGAAGTGCCCCGCTTCCAGCACTTGACCACCTGGCCAAAGGTGCCGCGTCCCAAGAACTCCAGGACCTAAGGACGTAAAAAAGGGTTTTAAAATCGATATAAGGACTTAGAGAAAGCCGAACCCACCTCATACTCCGCTGATAGGGAATAGAGCACCTCGTGCTGCACCAGCTGGTAGTCGCCATCCGCTCCACTGCTCGACCTTTTGCTGGGGGGCTGCGTGTTGGCATGACCCCCCGAGGTGGCGACCTTTGTGTGCGCCGTCTTGAGGCTGCTGATGGGCCCTGTTCCGTCTGATCTTGATCCGGCTCCTGCTCCCGCTGCTGCTGACGAGTCCTGCTGCACTGGCGGGCCGTGGTTGGAATTGTATGAGTCCACACAGCCGCAATCACAATCTGGAAGAGTGGAGAAAGAGTGGAAGAGTTTAGTTTCCAGACTTGTTCTTCCGTTTAAGCCTATCTACTACCTCTTCTAAGTAATCTTTTAATAACTAAGGAGATCATTGTTCTCTGTACTCGCTTTTCTTCCGCTTCTTTGTCGGGGAAAATTTCCTGTTGCCACCTTTTTCGGTTTCAGGCAATTTGGGTACCGCGCAATCTTGTCGATGAAATGCAACTGAACGCAGTTCCACCTTTTCACGCCGCCCGAGACTCACTCATATATGGCTATAGCATACAGCATATAGAATCTGTATCTGTGCACTCACTCAGCAGCATTTGCGACTTGTCAACGCCCCCAACAAAGCGGCGCAGAAAGAGCCCAAAAAAAGGAAATCATTATGGGAATTGGCCAACAATAATGAAGATGACTAAGTGAACATGGGTTGGTCGTGGCGATAAAGACGACGGAGATGTGGAGACGTTGTCTACACCATGAGGAAGGTGTTGCGCTAAAATGTATCTCGAGGCTGACAGAGACGCATCCAGGATGTCGCAGGAGATTCCTTTCATATTTGAATCCCATTAAACGATAGATGCTGTTGAATATTTATGGAGAGCTGCCTGGCAACCATCTGGCGACCCATTCCATCCTCTCCGGCTGACTTCCCCGTAGTTAGGCAACTAAAAATAGAAGCAGTTAAGTAGCCAACCCGCTAGCTAACTGGCTCGCAGCAACCTCGGTTGCTAGTTTTTCACGTATCCACATAACTTAATTAATTTACGTCAGAGGACATTTCATATGAATGGGGGCAAAGGGCATAAAAATAGCGAAAGGCAGAGGGAGGAGGTGAACCCACGCACTCTGGGCCAATTATACGTATGTATACCAGGGAAGGGGCCGTTTCCTGGGGCTACCAGAAGGGTCACGTGGGCGTGGTCAGCCTGGAAGAAGCCAACTGGACATCGGCGAGGAGTGAAAGGCAATCAAAGCTTAAATTAAGGACACACGCGATGGAAACGGAGACGTGCGGTGGGAAATTTATGGCACAAACTTGAGGCGGCGACGGTGGCAGCAGCAGTAAATGAAATGAGAACTAAATGCAATAAATTATGCAAAATGGAGCCAAACGAAAAAAGTTGAGCTGCGAGTTGAAAAACGAAATTGAAATGGAAAGGCAAGCAGCCAGCGGAGGTCACCGCGAAGGCAAAAGTCGGCGGCGGAGGCAGCGAAGGTCGAATCGAAGGTTGCCCAGTTTCCAAGCCATCTTGGCCCGTCCCCACAAATTCGATTGCTCCCTCCTTCGGAAAAGTTCTGCTCCTGGCAAGGACTTCTTGCACAACGCTCACGTGGCACCAGCACTGGCCGCATCATCCTGCCACCAGCAACAAGTTATGTGAAAACACTCGAAGAAAAGTTTGACTGTTTGTAAGCAGAAGAAATGAGCTAACAAGATTATGGTCATTCTAAAAGTAAAGTTTATAGATTGTAGCGATTTAGATAACATAACTATCTGCCACATATACCAATTTATACCATTCCTAATACGGTATGGCATTCCTAATTGATTTAGATTTTCATCAGTTTCCTTTGCGAGTGCACATCCAGCTGAAAACTTTGCCATAGCTTTGACATCATTTGTCCCTCGGGTTATACAACCATGCAGCGGCAGAAAAAAAACAGATTTTGTTTACGCAAATCTCAGCAGCAGTAACTGAAAATCCGAGATGCGGAGGAGCTGCAGCAGCGGCACCGTCAAAGTTGCAACGTGACGCAGTTTTAGCAAACAAAACGAATCTGACTGCCTGCGGTTTCTATTCGTATTTGTGTTTTAGCCCCCCTCCTCCCCGCCCCTTCGCTTTGCAGCGTTTTTGCAATTTCTGTGTCTGTTGCATAAAAGATTCAGCCAACTGTAAATGTGGGTGCCGGAAGAGGGGTGCTTGAACCTAAAAGGGGGCGTCGTATCGAATGATTTGCGGGGGCGTTTGCCCGATGCAACCGATCAGCTTCGCTTTGCAGGCTTTCCTCAAACAAAAAACTTGGGCTTTGAGTTAGCTGATTCATTTGGATATTTTGATAGCCTGTGCTAAACTTGGAACGAAGTTACTTAAGAACTCTCTTACATAAGCTTTGCATAAACCTAATAGTTACTGTTGTAGAATTCCCGAGATTTCTTTCCTGATTAAACCAAAAGTTGTTTATGGATTTCCAACCGAAATTCCCCAAAGCTGAATGCCCAAGGGGCACTTCTTTGGAAAACCCGAATGGTTCCCCAGATACCGCCATGGCTGAGGTTGTGCGTTATCGGTTAAAGGCTGATCGCACAACAAGTTCATTGCTGTTTTTAACCAGAAAACTGATAAATGCCCTGGAACTGTGTGACTGGGTGAGGGAATATGGGAAAACGGGGCTGCTTCGGGGTGCTCGAATTGACAACAAAGGGTTTGTTTTCATGGATTTTTGCGGTAATTGCAGTAATCACATTGCGCAACTACAACAGGCCAGTCTACAATTATAAGCTAATCCGCAGAGCCCACGTGGTGTAATTGCTAAATTTTCGATTACAACATTGTGGGAGATTGTGTGGGTTTAGTTGGCTGTTCGACTGTTAAATAAACAATTAACCATCTTCCATTTTCCAGCTTAACTTTAGAGAAAGTTTTGAGAACTTCGTCCCACCACAGCGGGAATTTCCATAACTTTATTTATATGCAGCTCTGGGCCTGAACCCTTTTTTGTTATCAAAAAGAAAATGCAAATTCACCACTTTAGTTTCTGGGCTTTTGTTAAAATGCAGCCAAAAACCTAGCAGCGGAAGTGAAACAAATCGAAAAACGAGCATAATTACGTACCGGCGAGAAACTCAAAATAAATTATTTACAAAACGGAAGCGGAAAGGCGCTAAATGAAGAGAGAGAGAGGTGGAGAGAAGAAGGAGGGAGAAGGCAAACGGGCAAAACAAAAAAAAAACAATGCAACCGCAGGCAGGTGCGAGGGGCGAGCGAGCAACAGGTTAGTTGGCTTGGACCCAACCTGTCTGAACTCCGGCTTTGGCTTCAGCCGAAGCTTCGTGTCCGAGGTCGATAGCTCTCCTTCTGTGGAGTTGTTTTTGTTTGTTGTTGTTGGTTGTTGTTGTTGTTGTTGTTGATACTGCTGTTGCTGCAGTGCGTTTGCCGCATATTAAATGCGCTGATTAATCGACGCAAACAATAAACCAGGGGCGGGGAGAAGGCCGAGAGGCGGGTAAGAAAAACGAGGACAAAACCCGGGAAGAGCTTACACTTAAAGAAAATGCATGAAACTTATAAAGAAAGGAATATTTCAAAAACAAAAACCTATCTGTTCCGCCATCTATAACTTACAAACAATCAAAACTTATGGCTTCCCCTTATAATTGCCTTATAGTTCATACCTATAATCATCAGATTCTATTAAAATAACATGAATTAAGTTAGCTGCAATTAAATCACATTGCTGACTTGCTGTAATTTCGATTTCGGTGTAGAGAAAACATTGCGAGGGGCTGGAAATGGGGTGGGGACTCGGGGTGGATGGGCTGGGTGACGAACGGGGGGGCAGAGGGAAGAGGGAAGAGGTAAGGCAGTATAAATATTTGTCGCTGCAATGAGAGCAATGCACGGGCAAGCATTTCCACTTGTCAACGCACCTGACGAAGCCAACAACAGCAACAACGAAAACAACAACACCAACAACAAAGGTGGCACCTACAAAACATGAACCTACAGAGAGACACGAACAAAAAACAAAAACAAGTTCCAAAAGCAACAGCAACAGCAACGGCAGCAGCTACAATTGCTCTGCCAACAATGTTGCCGGCGACCTCTCCACCCCCTTTGTTTGCCCCCTCCGCCCCCTTTTGCCCCTTTCTCCAGCCGCAATCAGTATGAAATGGGAGCAGGCAGAACGTGCAAGAACAACGGAGAAAGTCTGCCATGAAACCCAAGAAGAAAGAGACGTGGAAGGCAGAGCAATTACCAGATTCTTCTGCTGCCGCTTCTTCTGGCTGTCATTACTTTGGATGTTGCTGCGGGGTTCGCCATATATTGCTGATGCTGTTCTTGCCACCAATGTCTCATGTTGCCTCTATGGTCGCTGATTATTGGGCTTACGTTGCTGCTGAGCCTTGCAACGATGTGGCAGCAGTTTATTGCCTCTCTGTTGCTGCCAATCGCTAATGTTGCCACTGTGTGACAATTCTATTGCCGTGTTTCCATAGCTTACGAAGCTGATGAGTTTTCCCTACTCTCTGCTCTTTCCACTGTCGCTGCTGTCTTGCTTCTTCTTTTTAGTGCTTTTTCTGCTTTTATCTTTGACTTTGCTTTTGCTGCTGGCGTTGCATATTTCATGGCCTGTGTTGCATATTTAACACCCGATGCCAAGCATGCTTGCATTTGCATACTCAACCCACCACTCACCTCTCGCCCCTCCCCCCTAACCACTCAGCCACTGTGACAGTCCCAGCCATAATCAGAAGACAAGTTATCAAAGGCAAAGAGACGAAGCGGGGCAGGAGAAAGAGGCAGCGATCTTTAAAAACTGAGATAATGCCAGAAATGGCATCGTGCAACAAATTGCAGCGACATGTGGCTGCTGCGCAAAGAAGCGGGGCATGAAAATAAACTGTCGCCTTTCTAAAAAACGAGGCAGAAAAATCTCACGATAACCTGGGTACTTTCACAATAACGAGGAATAGAAGATCCACCAAAATGTATAAATAGAAAATGGTAAAGCGAAGAGTTAGCTCTCAGATGGAGTTACTATTCCTAATGATGTTGATTAATAGAATAGAAAATGGGAAAAGATGACCACCTTCTGTAGGGTACCACCAGTGTATGTACCCCAAGACATCGATAGATAGTTTACGATCCTCATAGTCCTGTAAATACATCTCAAAGCCAAAACGCTTCTTAATCAACTTCTAACTAGTTTGCTGAGCTTCTCTGCACTTTTAATCAGCGCAATGTTTTCAGGTTCTCCCACTTAATCGATGTGTTAT